AAGGTTTGATGTACATTTTAAGCTATGATGTGTCTGGCACCTCAGAGTCCCTTTAAAAGTCTACCGATATACAATATTTCAGCTTTATATATAGTAACCACATGAATATTAAATTCTGTCCGAAGTGTATAAAAGTACGATATAGAACTTGAAAATAACTAATACTAATACTAATCACTTAAATAAAGATTAATTTTACAATTAGGTCAAAGTAAAGGTGTAAATTTGTGAGTTCTTTTKGTTGAAAAAATTTTCTTCTTCTTTGTATCGTTTTGATTTCAAAAACTATTACTTTTCTCTACTAGTGGATCACGAATAGATCACTAATAGCTTAGCCAATCAGAATGCAGGATTTGTGATACACTATGATATTATTGTTCTGCTTATATATGGTTTCATGTCACTGTAAAACTATTAGGAAACGATGAAATTAATTGTTTGGACTGTGGTTGTTGTTTTCTGCGCTTCCAAACAAGATACATTTTGCTAGTGTTCTTAAGGAATTGGTCTTATTTTTTCATCACTTAATTAATGAAATTTTTTTTGTGCCAGAATGATTTTATTTACCATATTCTTGGATAGATTCCCTATTTTGATTTAGAAGACCCAAGGGTGTAGCCAGGGAGTGGCAAAGGGGCCAGCTCCCCTCATTCGTGTCAGCAAAATTGCGGCTTTCTTAGATTTTATGCATTAATTGCAATTAAGTTTTTGTAAAATTAAAAAGGAAAATGAATGCAGGGTTTTCTATACCCCTAAGACCATCATGTTTTAGGCCTTTAAAATATTCAGAAAGTTCTAAAAATAGTTTTGTAAAATACAAATAGTAGCGAGGTCGGAAATTAATTTTTCCGAATTTAATTCCAAGGGCTTTCGCCCGGAATAACCTCGTTCCCAAGCACTACAACTTACCTATATTATCTTCTAAAATACAAATAGATTGGTAAATTTTTAAGTACAACTTGGGTTTTTGATATTCTCAACTAGTTTTTATCGAAATAGTTTTAAAATAAAAGCGTAAATATTTTGCTTAGCGATCATTTCAGCTGTCCCTCAGTTATCACACTCAGTTTCCATGGAGACCGAAATGAATATTTGTTCATAGCGGGCTCTCTCTCGTTGATACTTTAATCTACAGTTAAAATTGTTTAAAAGAAAAAACGTCAGAAATTTGTTGCCCAAATTCCTAAAATCAAACACCATATTTTGCATTTTTTAAAAGACAATTTAGAAATCCTTCATATATACCGATATATATGTATATATGGTTTGGTTTTACGCGAGAAGGGAAATTCTAAAAAAATTTAATGCGGTACAGTGTTTACAGTATAATTCGTACAGGTAAGTCTTAACTTGCTAAGTTTATTTATTTAAAATTCAAGCATTCACAGACTGATATTTCCGCTATACTCTTAAAAATATGAAAGCTCCTAAAACAGCATTCCTTATTTTTACCGCGTTTATTACTTGCTGTGTGTTTTTTGTTATCTACATTTTAAAAATCATTCCATTTTGTAAGACACTTAGAAAAGCATTCTCTTGAATTATACACAATATTCTAACGGTTTTACAAATTCCAAATTACTCTATTATTTAAGTTAAGATTTAATTGTGAAACGAAAAAATGAAGTTAAAACGACTCAAAATTGAAATTCAACTCAAATTAAAACGTTTTTGGCTCTCCGGCCCAATTGAAAGTTTCAACATGATATATATATATATATATATAACTATTTTGAATAAGTATATCAAACTGTGAATGGAAGCTACAGTTTAAAGGGGAAACTATATATGTTATTATTCTTTGACCTAAAACATCACATTATTCTATTTGAACTCAAACATTACAAATTTGCATGTTGCAACGAAAATTTTGACACTTCTGTTAAAGAGAAATTCAGCTAATTACTCCACCAATATTATCGTTTGTTTTTCCATTTGTATTGTATGTAATTAAACCCTTTTTGAATTCTAGATTAACAGCTTTTTTAAAAATTTCATGGATTAAACACTTCTTCAAAACGTTTGTGTGTTGACAACGCAAGTTTTTATCATTTAAAACCTGAGAGTATACAGTTGTCGTGACCAAAAAGAAGGTCGTTTCCAAGAATAGCTGGAGTAATCGATAGCTAGCTACTGGCGTTTCTTATTATTCTGGTCGAGAAACACGGAGGTTAGTGTTGAGATATACAGTGTTCAGTTTGTTGTCGACGAATCCGCTTCGAACTCCTCGAGTTTAAAAGTATGTATTCGTTTGACTTCGTTAACAACAGTTATCTCCGTGTGAAATAGTAAAACAATACATAGACGAAAATGTGCCAAGAAAAATAATAAAATCCTGTTTACTCTTTGGTTGGCTTTGTCTTCTAAAGACTATACTAAATTTACTGCCTGTGGTATTAGATCTGCCATACAATTATAGTTTATCTATTTATTTTATTTCTTTATTATATTTGCCACTGAGATATATCTTATATATATTAATTTGGTATAGAAATTAGCCACTTTCCATTACATTTTCTTTTCCTTTACATAATATTGTTCCTAGATAGTACCATTCGTTTCATCTTGTATATATAACTGATATGATAACTGACGTTCTGTCGAAACGTCGAAATCGTACAATTTGCTATCGTGACGAACTAGGTTTTGGTGGACGTCAATCAATGCGTTTCCATGACATTCCATAGGCACGTGCCCTTATAAGCTTTGTGTTTTGCGACAAAGCTTGGAATCACTTTGATTGGCGTCCACCAAAACTCTATTATGTCTCTAATTTTTTTTCCATTATTTCGCGCGTGTGAATGAGAAGCGCTGTAAACCCGTGAGATAGATATTAGACTAATACAAGGTAGATCCTAATTCCATTGCTTTCTTTTGTGCGTATTTGACTTTACATACACGTTGTCCCCCGTTTTTTTTCATTTCACTGGTTAAATGCCTTCACTCTATATATTTGTGTTTTATCAAAAGGCGAGAACTGCTATGAAAGAAAGCAAGTTAAAGGTGCAGTCCACGGCGATGAAACTGTCGACAAAGACATCAACCAGGTTGACCCTATCCCCCAAGGATGAAAGAAAAACCTTAACAGGACAAGGGGAAATAAAGGAAGATACTCTTTGCATTCAGGCAGGCATTGAAGGTAAGTTATGTTGTTGGACATACCGGAACAATTATGAAACGGCTTCCCATAAGAAACGTTATCATTCATATGAGTGCGTACATGGTAAAACGTACGGTACTGACTGGTACGACATACGGTAACATTGGCTTCCCATAAYAGTCTAAGGGTTATCGTATGAATAAGAAACATACGGTACTGACTTAGCACACACACGGTACGACATGCCGTAACATTGAAATGGCTTCCCATTAGAAAGGTTATCGTATGAGTGGGAAACATACTGACATACAGTACGTACACGGTACGACATGCCTTAACATGGAAATGGCTTCCCATTAGAATGGTTATCGTATATGAATAGGAAACATACGATACTGACTTACAGCACATACACGATCATACGACATGCCGTAACATGGAAATGGCTTCCCATAAGAATGTTCATCGTATGAGTGAGAAACATACGGTACTGACTTACAGCAGATACACGATACGACATGCTGTAACATTGAAATAGCTTCCTATATAAGAATGGTTATCTTATCTGTGGGAAACATACGGTACTGACTTATAGCACTATACACGATACAACATGCCGTAACATTGAAATGGTTTCTTATAACTGATAAGGAGTGAGTTATCTAATGCCCATATCTTATTTTTAAATACAGGCAAACAAAATTCAAGGAGCACAAACCGTGCTGCTCATTTGTTTACAAACGCGGCCTTTCCGCTTGGTTTTACGCCATCGCAGTGCGCGCTCCTGGCATCTCGACAACGAAACTCAAACTACCTTTACTTCAAGGCAAGCAACAACTGGGAGAAATCTAAACCGTATTCCAATGAAACCACAAGTGTTTCTAGTACACCTGACTTAAGGTCCTCTTTAAGACATGAAGTCGAGGCTAAAGGGGTAAAATCTCCAAGTAAACTCTTGGCACCAATAAATGCCGGAAGAAAAAACATTAATGAGAAAACCGGTTTGACCGGATATTTCAAGTGGAAGAGCAAAGAAGAGGTAGCTAAGTACTTAGCTGCGCATGCGCAAGCTCGGTTGCTATGGATACAAGAGTCGGAAAAGATGGATGAAGATGTATCTAACAGGAGAAACGATTTCAATCTAAGATTAAGCGAAAAAATAAGATCTCCTCTTAGAAATCCTGTTTATCTTTTCAATAAGGATTCCAAAAAACGTTTTTGAAAAGAAAACCAGCAACAGCAACATACAAACAAACAAAAAACAAAGGGAAAAAGGCATAAAAATGGAACGAAATTTAAATTTAATTTATATTCAGTGTTTCCATCACAATTTTGTATCTTTGAAAACATTTTTTGATTTAGAATTATAAATAGAAAGGCAAACTTGCTTAAAAGTTATTAACGTGTTAACGTGAATATGTTAAACTGAATCTGCGTGTGAATTTGTCACTTTGCAGATAAACAATAGTAAAAAGAGTGAGAAAACGAATTAGAAAAAGAAAGTGCAGACCGTTTTTCACTAAACACTAAACTATTTCAGATGTTCCAGGCCTGGAATGAGATAACGTTTACGTTTTTTCAAGACTATGTACTTATTGACTGAGTGGGAGGGCCGTACGGGAAAATATTTGGCTCAAGGTCATGTCGTACGGACCGAGCGCAGCGAGGTCCGTACAAATGACCGAGAGCCAAATATTTTCCCGTACGGCCCGACCTAACTCAGTCAATAAGCATTTTATCATATGACCCTCACGAAAATAAAAATAATTAAGAAAAAGAAAGCGCGCGGATTCGAGCAGGGCCGGACGGGTTTTTCCGGCCCGCTTACGTCAACCCGTCCGGCCCCCATCACGACTTTTTCCAGTGGTTTTATTAGAGCGCGCGAGCAGGGCCGTACGGGTCATATGATAAAACCTCTTACTTTGGTGCCAAAGTTTTTCCACTTCACTCCATGTGTCATTTCCTAGAGCATCGTTTTTTTGTTTCACGGTTTTACATGAAAAAAATCTTATTCTCAAGTCCACGTGCCATTCCCTAGAGTATCATATCTTTGTTTAATGGTTACACATGAGAAGACACATGAATATGGATACAACCCAAACAAAGAATGTTATACTCAAGACCACGTGTCATGCACTAGAGTATCATTTCTTTGTTTAACGGTTACACATAAGAAGACACATGAATATGGATACAACTCAAACAAAGAATCTTATTCTCAAGACCACGTGTCATTCCCTAGAGTATCATTTCTGTGTTTAACGGTTGCACATGAGAAGACACATTAATTAAATAGATACAACTCAAATAAAGAATCTTATTCTCAAGAGAATGACACGTGGTCTGAAATGGAAATACATTACACCCAAGATAGAAACGTCTGTTGCAAGAAAATTTGATCTTGACAATGTTACGAGGACTTTGAATTGTTGCCACTCCTGTCCTTTCACCATTACTACTTGTGAACCTTTAATTTTTGACCATCTTCTCAACTACTATTCATTGATTCCTCAATTTATGTGGTGCCATAGCAATAACCACTACAATACGTTCAAGCCAGCTCTCGTCAAACAGTGGGATCCTTCATTTTATGTTCTTCACTGCTCCCATTAACAGACAATGACCCATTTTCTGCCGGATCATAAGATATAGGACCATGTATAGGCACCGATGGGGCCTTCATATCAATCTGCGATCGATAATACTTGGCCTTCCAGAAAGCTAGCAGAGGAATAGATATTAAACATGAAGAAAATGCGACCCAATTGATCCATTTAGTGCCAAAATTAGGCACCATTGGAAAGATATAAAACACAACTTGTAAGAAGTTGTTTGAAAATGTCAGGCATCCAGCTGTTATTCCCTCGGCAATGGGATAGGTTGATTCTACTGCTAGTTCGAAGAAGAGGGGGATGGAACCGTTGACAAAAAAGCCACCAAGGATGCTTGTGACGTAGAGTAAGACATTCCACTTGGGTAAAATGCTGTCACAGATCAGAGTAAAGAGAATGAGAGAAACTGATGCACCAATCATTAGCTCAATGACAATGCTCTTCATATGCCGTGTGAAATGGTCTGCAAATCTGAAATAAAAATGAAAGTAAATCTAATCAGCCTAATTCATTAAGAGATATAACTAGCTAAAAACTAGTGTGAGCTGCGTTGGTGTTTCTAATGAAACAGTAATGATAAAAAGGTAAATTATACACCGTGAAAAGAAGAATGTTTGTTTTTGTTTCCTTGCCTACCTTGTTCTCATTGGTTTCTTTCGTCTTATTCTATCATATAAACACTCCTTTCTAYCACCTCTTTCTCTTTTACTCTGACGAAGGACTAGCGTCCGAAACGTCAGTAAGTTTTTTCATCTTTTCACTGTGTAAAATTTACCTTTTTATCATTATTAATTCATAAAGCTTGGGTGGCGTAGCAGTGAAAGCACCACCTCTAACCAACACAACCTGTGTTTGATTCCTTAGCTCAGTATCATGATCATGTAAGTAGAGTAGCTTATTGATTCATTTCTGTGCTTCAAGGGTCGTTATTTCCGGTTTTTCTGCCTCCACAAAAATGACCTTCTTAACCCCAGTTGAATTCACTAGAATAAGTACTGTTATTCCACACAACCACAGTTAGTGTGCTACTCGCTGCACTGTGAACACTTCCACAAGTTTTTGATTTCCTTTTGACAAGTTTCAATTGTGTTTTTACAGCTATCCAATCAGGTTTTAGTGCTTCACTTTAATGTTTTGATATCGCACTGTAACTTAACTTATCTTAAACATTAAAGTGCACCCACCCAGATATTTTGGTCCCAGCAAAATCACCATACACTTTTTGTTTCACAGACACCTCTATAATACGGACACCTCTATACTACGGATGCCTTTGTGATACTGACACCTCTATATTACAGACACCCCTATTTTACAGAACCCCTATATTACAGACACCTAAATTATGGACTCTTTTTTCTGGCCCTTCGGTGTCCATATTATAGAGGTCTCATTGCAATTATTATATTGTAACTTACATTGATAAAGATATTCCAGAAACAGAACCTGCGACTACAGCTCCAAAACCTAGCCAACCAGCTGTCTTTTGATTAATATTGAAAGCAGACAAATTCAAATCCAACACTGAACACCATCCACCGTAAATGCCAGTCGACACCCCATAGATGAACACAAGCAACCAGAAGCGCTTCTTCCTAAGAAGAGCTTTAAAACCAACAGAGAAGTCGAGGCGACCAATGGCGGCAGTTATACTCGGAGGCAGCCGTGGCTTTTTTGGAAAGTATATCAAGACACAAAGGAAAACAAGAGCTGTGACTCCAAATTCCAGATACATGAAATTCATTATTTGTTCTTTGTATTCTCTGAGTTGAGTAGTGTTAAGACTTTTCCTAAGTTTATGATAATTGATGCCTTCAAAAGAAGAATTTCCTTTGTATAGTTCTCCAACATCTTGCACCATTAAAGGACCAATAACAAATGACAAAGCTGTGCCGCTGTAGCATGCAAGAGAAGAGATGGCTGTGGCAGTCGTTCGTTGTGAAGGGGGGAACCATGCAGCGGAGACTAATGGAGGTGCTGCCATGGCAACGGGTCCTCCAAGTCCAGTTRTGAATTGTCCTAGGTGGATAAGGATTGACTGGGATTTATTGTCCAGTGGAATGCATCTTAAACCAGCACCGATGAATTCAAAAAAGGCTGCAAGGAGAACTGAAGTTCTGAGACCTGGAAATATCAATCAAATTTTCATAGCATTAAACAAATGAAAAGTGTAGATTTAATAGTGTTGCCTAGCAACAGTGATACCATGTTTCGAGTACTCTCCCAGAGACAAAGTCATAGTGTATTAGATCATTCAAGAGTTAGCCAATCTGAGAGTTAGCCATGCTCTGACTTAGATCAGTCCAAAGGTTGTTTCTGGGTTCAATCTGAGAGTTAGCCATGC